TACAGGGGCCCTCCAAAGATGGGGGGACCCTTCTGGGATGCAGGGACCCTCCTGGGATGCAGGAACCCTCCAGGTATGCAAGCCCTCCGAAGATGGGGGACCCTCCTGGGATGCAGGGACCCTCCGAAGATGGGGGGACCCTCCTGGAATTCAGGGACCCTCCTGGGATGCAGGGATCCTCCAGGGATGCAAGGACCCTCCAGGGATGCAGGGACCCTCCCAGGATCAATCAAGGGACCAGGACAGCTCTGTGCTGTTCTTCAGGAAGCCAGCAGGTGGCAGCACAGGCCATGGGGCTCTGCCAGCCGCCCGCCGTGGGCTCTGCGGCAGCCGGACTGACTCCTCATTTTTATAAGGTGGCTTTCCCAGAACGGGTCCAAGCACACCCGCCACGGCCCACCCGCCCCTCTATTCCAGGATGACCCAGTCTCCTTGAAGCCTCCCGGACCCAAGCGGACAACGTCCAGCCGCCGAGGGACTCAGGCATGGTGCCGGGGTGGCCGGCAGGGGCTCCCCCCGCCCCAGGCCTGAGACACACCTGGGAGAACTGAGCAAAGGTCCGGTCGGCCAGCATGGGCACGTGCCCCAGCAGCTCATGGCAACAGTCCCTGTGGGGGCGGAGAGAAGGGGCGGCTGGGGGCGGGGGGCGGGGGGCCGCAGCCCGCCCCTGCCCCCTCCCCCACGTTCCGGCGGCTCGCAGGCGGGCACCCCGCGGGTCCGCTGCGGAGGCGGGGCAGCAGGCTGGGCGGCAGGGGCGGCCCCGCGGGGAGCAGGTGCACACTCACGGCTCGGGGGAGTGCATGGGCGAGGACGCATGTCGGATGTACTGGGTGCACTGGAACACGCGGAAGGCCAGGCTGGCCAGGAAGTCCCGGGCGGACAGCAGGCCGGCCACGGGCCGCAGCTGGAAGCCCGTGCGCTCTGCAAGGGCCACGGGGGTCAGGGCGCCAGGCTGGGTGGGGCCTCCCTCCTGCGGGCCCCGCCCCTGCGGCCCACGCACCCTTCAGGAAGCGGGACACGTCCTCCAGCTGGGGGATGCTGTCCTCCCGGTAGCCGCTGAAGCGCTCCAGCAGCTGGAAGGCCTCCAGGTGCTCCCGGCAGGCGTGGGTGGCGTAGAGGCCCTTGAGGGTGGTGTAGACCTCCTTCCTGCGGGCAAGGGTCTCAGGCCCTGCGGCGGGGCTCTCGTGCCCACGCGGCCGAGCCTGACGGCCGCCCGACCCCAGCCCCTCCCCACATCAAGCAGCCAGTCCTTGTGGGTGCTCCTCTCTGCCCCTGCCCTGGAGGCTCTGCAGAGGCCCCCACTGCAGGCCTCTCGCTGGACCCTGAAGACCCTGGCCACTGGGGGGCTCCGGGGGACAGAGGGCCATGGGGATGACTGGACCCAGCAGCAGCCTCTCCTCCCAGATGGCCTTGGGAAGTCCCTCCTCTACCTGGCCTCCACACGCGGCCCTTCTTGTCCCCTCCGCCCCAGCAGGGCCACCGGGTCTTACCAGGTGGCAATCTCCTCGGCCGTGTACTCCACACGGGGAATAGGGTCGCCGCTGCGGACGGGGTGCGCAGTCAGCAGGGGCCCCTCGGGGAGGGCGGGCAGGGGGGCGGACAGGAGGGGTTTGGGGCTGAGCGCATGCCGGCCGCATGGTCTCGGCAGCTTCCTGTTTGCTCGGCTGGGACTCGGGGACCCGAGCCAGTGACCACAGTGACGGCGCTGGTGACAGAGATGCCCCCCCCCCACCGGTGTGAGGCTCCAGGACGGGGTCTGGCTCCCTGAGGCCGAGGCCGCCAGGGTCCTTACTGCTTGTACTGGAATGCGATCTCCGCAATCAGCTTCCGGCGCTGGCGGTAAGCCTGGTCCGAGAAGCCCTGGGGGCAGTACCCCACACGCTCAGGAGCCTGCCCACCCGACTCCTCCCTGCCCTGCCCGCCACCCCTTCCCTTCCCTGCTCAATGCCCCTTCCCTGCCTGCCACCCCTTCCCTGCCGG